AGATAGTTTTTTTAATATTTTAAATATACTTCCCTTTCCAAATATCTATTGTTATACCAAAGCTAAGTGTGAAAGGAACATGGACAGTTTTCAGTCGACTAAAATAAGCTTTATCATTTTTTTCCTTGGGGATTCATTTTGGGAAGCACAAAATATCCATCATATAGCATTAACACTCTATAAATATATCTGTACTACATTGTAGCACATTACATTTACAATATTCAACAGAACAAAAGATTACTCATGAGTCACATACTCTTCTCAGCAAAAAAAACTTTTCTTTTTATGCTTGAAGTACTAACAAACCTAAAGCAAGTAAGTCAAAACCAATAAATTCAAAAATACCTTTAAACAAAATGTACTATGGCTTGCATTAACAGTATGGGCTGAAGTATATTCACGTATCTAAGCTTAGAAAGCTACAGGGCTTAATTATTTTTGCAAACTGAAATGCACTCTGAAGTTTCCATAACCAAAAGGGCACAAGATAATGCAATGTAGCACAATGAGTATGAATAACAACACTAATGCAAAAACTCCATTTCCAACTTAGCAGATAGCCTTTGCTTTTTAAATGCATTCAGCCAAAAAAATATAAAAGAACGAACAATGAAAATATGCCACCAGCATAGAAATTGTTGGTAAAAAAAACAGACTTATTGAATTTATTTAGGTATGTGTACTTTCTACATGTTCTTGACTGTGAAGCTTTCAGAAAGATTTTGAAGATGAAAACATTCATTACGTATATTAAAGCAGCCTGAATAACACCATCAGTAGCAGTCAAATGCATATACACTGCATTGAATACATACCTTTAAACAGCAGATCAAAGCAATGTGCACTTTTGTATTTACATCACTTGTGTGCGAACTTAAACAAAATGGCGCAAGTATATGCATAAGCACACACCTCTGGCATTCCATCTATTTTTATTTAAATTTATTAACGCCGCACACATTAACACACCAACACAAAATCCAGCTTGCCTACAAAAAAGACAGTTATCGTTCAGGTAATGACATTATGAATATAGTCTTTTTCTTCTATATAGCTTGCTGACTATAGCATCATCTCCATGCTATATGTGTGATGAGTCCAAAAGACTTTTCAGTCAGTATACCATTTGACCCGGGTGGGTTAGACACTGAATCCCGGAACATTATGACTGGCCATGCATAAAATAGGTCGAGTCAGTAGGGTTGAGGATGGGGTGAGAAGCCATTGAAGGATTGATGAATCCTATTGGAATTCAAATGCACAGAGACTAAATAAGCCCACATGTAGGCTAGGCTCTCAGGAACTGAGCTACGGACTTGTTGTGTATGACTTCTCCAACATACGAATGCACTGATTGTACCCCAAGTTATTTAATATCTTATAGACACTGGCAATTTCTGGGCAGTAGGTGGATTTCTGAAAAGGTATGGAGATTGAAGTAAAAGATTGAGAAAGTCTATTGAGGAAGCAGAAAATTATTTTAAGGGAGGTAAATTGTTGCACCAATTCAATGTCCAAGCAGCAGTAATGGGGGGAGGAGGTGTTTACCATATAATCTGCTCTAGAATATTAAGTTCTTTTAATTCAAAAGAAGTCTGTTTTGAAAAGCAAGGAATAAGGACTGAGGAGGATGCCTTTCTACTTCTAACTAAAATCAACAGACTACTAGTGTACCTAACTAAACTGGAATAAGCTGTGGAGATTGTCTCAGATACAGGCAGAAAACCAATTACTTATCAGCAGTCACAACCTGCAGAAGCATCAAGCATCAGCTGAGGAGTACAGTTTGCTTTCAAGATTCCACTCGGCCTTTCTCTAGTGCAGGGGTGTCAAACTCGTGTCGCGACATATTATGACTTTTTCCCCATTGCCGGAGCTGGGGTGGGGCAGTTTCGGCATGACGCATCCGGTCCGCGGGCCTGCAGTTTGACACCCCTGCTCTAGTGGTAACTAAATCTAAAATGGCTTCCTGTGACATTAGCTTCTTGAATGCCTACTGCTTTGCCCTAAATCCCTCCCCCATATTCTTCCCTTTACAGCAATAGGAAAATAGTCCTTCTATACTGACTATGACACTAGAACAACTGAAAATATCCCAAATCTAAGAAATAAGACAACATTTACAGCAGCTAAAACAGAATGGAATATGCAAAATACTTTTTCTATGTGGAATGGCTGCAATTTGAATCATAACAGAACAAAACATCTGAAACTGGTATATGAGTTAATGGACCATTATGCTTTATTTTACATTGGCTATAGAAATGAAAACAGCTAATGTCTTAACAATTAAAAGGGATATACAAAAAACAAACCAGAAGAGCAAGTTGGATAACTTTCCTATTTTGGATTTACAAAAGAGACATATTAAAGTTTTGAAGGAATTTCTGAGACGAGACAAAGAGAAAATGAAAAAAATCAAGTTATGGGACATTATTCAAAAGGATAAATGATCAAGATTATTAAAAGCAAGGGAAAAAATATGAAACTAGTTTATCCGTTTGGTTAAATTATGTTGTTGTTTCCGGTAACCCTTATAGGACTTCCACTGATTAGGGCTGAATGAATTTGTCTATAGATAAGAGACCAGATATGGGAAGAAGAGATCTTTTGTAGCACTGTAATCTCCAAGGTGATATAAGTTACTGAATTTTTTTGCTCTTGTCATGATGAAGGGGAAGTTATTTCATTATAATTGTCTTTTTTCTTTAATATATTTCTTTTTTTCCTGCACTTTTCTCTTTTGTAATTTTCTTAGTTTGTATTAATCTTATCTTTGCAATGTAAACTTTAATAAAAAATTAAAAATGTACAGTTCAGTGGACATGATTCATGCACAGAACATTTTTATCCTTCATAACTATTATACTTTCTTAGAATATTTAAAACATATTACCATGCACTAAGTAGAAATGTAGTGAATTGATTTATATACTCTCAAGAGTTCTTAAATTCAATTTTTCACTTTTTTACTCCACTAAAATTTACAAATTAGTAGCAGACATAGAATTTTATCAGTTTTGTTAATAACAGATATTATCAAGTTAAGTTCTCTGTCTTTCATCAGCTAGGAATCTATGTGGAACAATTCTAAGTTTAATAGCTAAACTATACTTTCTTAAACAGCAAATTTACAAATTTTTATACACTTTCCCCAAGCTTAACCTAATGCTATTCTGCATCTGATTTTGCTTGTCTGGAAGCTCATCACTACTTCATCTAAGCATGTAACCCAGAACAAAAATGACTTAAAAATCAATTACATATTTCCCTCTTTTTTCTAGTTCCTCCTATCTAAGCCAATAAAATTCACAAGCTTTCGTTATTTTGTAAATTTTCAATTGAACTTACAAAATGGCGTCTTGGGATTTTGATTTTATTCTTGTGATAAAGCATCACGACTATCATGTTTTACTGTTCTGATTTCTGCAATGCTTTTTACATATTTTTGTTGAGCATATCCTCTTCAACTAGGACCCTCCAATTTTCACTTGCAAAGTGGTTTATTTTGCAATAAAAGTTATATTCCTTTTACTTGTTACATTATTCAAACTTTCTGAGCTCCAAACCTTGCAATTTCTTAATATGTCATTATTAAATATTACATCTTACTAATATTACTTGAGGGATTACCTTCTCCATCTCCCTGTCCCATATACTCCAACAGGGAAGACTGCTTCTTTTAAACTGTCATTTTATTGGACCTAAAGCATGTCTTTCCTGTGGTTGTCCCTGCCCTCTGAAATGATCTACCCCTAATACAGGCAGTCCTCAACTTACAATAGTTTGTTTAGTGACCATTCGAAGTTACAATGGCACTAAAAAGTGACTTAACTGTTTTTCACACGACTATTGCAGGATCCTGAAGATCATGTGATGAAATTTCAGACACTTGGCAACTGACTTATATTTATGACAGCTGCATGGTCCCAGGCTCATGTGATCACTTTTTGTGACCTTCTGATAAGCAAAGTCAATGGGGAATCAGATTCACTTAAAAACTGTGCTACTAACTTAACTCTGCAATGATTCACTTAACAATCATAGCAGGAAAGGTCATAATATGGGGCAAATGTCTCACTTAGCAATAGAAATTTTGGGCTCAATTGTGGTCATAAGTTAAGGACAACCTATATAGGACAGGCACCCACTCTCCTTGTCTTTAGAAAAATTCTTAAGACCTGGCTCTTTCTCAGGTATTTGGGATCATTTGAGTGGAAGCTCCCCTCTAAGGTTTATTATGGTCTGTGCTTGGTTGTCATATTTCACATTTTAGATTGTGTGTTTATATAGTAGGTGCTGGTTGTATGACGATGATGTGTTTTTGTTGTAGGCTGCCCAGAATCCCAAGGATGAGTTAAGCAACTTTATAAGTCTTTAAATACATACCTATTCACAGATACATCAATTTTCCTCTGGTGTTTCCCAGCCTTATTTAATTGGCAATGTGTTTCCTACCTTATGGACATCCCTCATGATGAGTCAATATTACTTTACAAAACTTTTCTACTGCTGGAGGGAAGGCCAAACCTACAGCATATGCCAAGCCCTACCATTTGGCAAAAGGCAATGGCCCTCATGGTAACAATCCAGGCACACCAACATTATCAAATTGCCGGTGCAATGTGAATACTAAGCTACCGATCTACACATTTTGTTAAAAAACAAAAACTTTTCACACACCTCCACCGTTACAAAGAACATCCACCCTCGAGTCTACTCTGAGTTTACATCCTGCACAATTTATCACCCGCCCTTGTGACATTTTGTGAGAGAAGGGGAACCCTCCAATTCTTATGTAACCTGTGTCTTTCCTATAAATTGAGGCGAGGTATATTTCCTTCTCTTGTCGCGATTCCCCTCCATAACCTCCAGTCCCGCTTTCTTGACCCGTCTCCCTCCAAACGCTCCTTCAGAGAATCCACCTTGCAGATCCCCTCCTGTCATCGCTTCTTGACCCACCTACCCAGCGGCCAACCCATCCCCGCCCCACTCACAGGGTCTTGGGCTGTCCGTCGTCTTCCATCATGCTACGGGAAAGCTGCTCCCAGGCAGAGCCAGGATGTTGCACCGAAGGGGGAGGAAGCGTATGAAGACTCCGAGACGCTATTAAATAAATAAATAAAAAACGAACCGCCTCAGGCCTCTCGTTTTTTCTTAGGCCTCGGCAGCCCCCGAGGTAGGATTCAGTAGAACGCTGAGGGGGGAGGGGGGCGTTGAACTAAAGGGTCTACAAAATGGCCGCGGTCGCCAACCACTCAGGAAATCATGCAATGCGCAAGCGCAGCGCAACCCATCTCTGTCTCTCTCTCTCTCTCTCTCCACACCTTCTTGGCATGACTAGAAAGGGAACGTTAGAGCTGCGGTTCTTAACTTTGACGACTTTCAGATGTGTGGTCTTCAACTCCCAGAATTTCCTGCTGGCTGGGGCATTCTGGGAGTTGAAGTCCACGCATCTGAAAGTTGGTAAAGATTGAGACACATTGCATTGGAGTAACAACAAGCGTATTGCTTCCTGGTTCACTGCAGGGATGAGGAAAGAGAATCCGCGTTTCATATGAACAGGAGGGGGAATTGGCAGTGTTGGCGAGGCAGGCAGGTGGAAGGAAGACAGCAGGATGCTTGAGAGGGGAACTTCGAAGTGTCTCTTAAATCCTTCATTTAGAATAAGGTTGTACTGGATTCGCAAGCTATAATGCCAATTCTCTTTTGGGCTCGTCTGAAATGCGGTAGAATCGGGGCTCAGCCGGAGTCACAGGAAGGCGCAACCCAACTTTTTCCATGCTAATAGGTCTTACACCTATTTTTCCCAGTGTTTCATTTTAGAGCTTATTATAGCTTTTCTTAAACACGTATGCTCATTCACAAAATAGTTTCCCTTGAAATCTGTATCCAGGGTATGTTTACTAACAATCTTCCGCTGAGTAAGACTAGTAGTAAGAACAGAATAGATCAGTTCTCTAAATGTTTACCCTAACTCAAAATATTTCCCTTCTTCTGATCCCCACTTGTAATAAAGAACATTAATTATAGATTAGATGCAGACAGGGAGTACTTGTAATTTTGCCTGCCAGGATTATTGATAAAAACGTTCAGAAGGAAGCATCAAAGGTAATAAAACAAATCCAATGAAAATAACTTGAAGAAATTAAATAGGCTTAGTCTGGTATTGTTTAAGGACAATACTATCATATTGTCCTTAAACAACATCAGACTAAGCCTATTTAAGTACTATGTACTTAAAATACCTGAATGATTGTCACATAAAAGTTTAAAGATTAGTTGAACAAGGACTTTCATACTGAAGCCAATTCTTTTTTAAGAAACGGATGCTGTTTTTATGTGAGAGATTTTTAAATGGAGGTAATGCTTGATGCTTTTGTTCTACATCAAGCAGGGATCTAAATTAGATGCATGGAACACACCATGTTCCTCCCCCTTTCCATGTTGGAGGCATAGCTATGAAGTCAGCAGAGAAGAATCTTAAATGTGTACCAATGTACAGACATTGTATGGATAATATATAGCCATGGAGATGTTGTACCTCCTGCAATTAAAATACAAGGGTGTATGTGTGTGTTGGGTGGGTGGGGAGTACAATGAGGTTGGTAGCAAAGGGAGATAGATTTTTTTTTCCAGTGATGGCACCTCAGTTGGATTCCTCAAAATCCCAAGCTTTTATTTTCAATCTAATTGTTTTATTTTGTTTTTATAATTTTGTATATTTAGCTTTTTTACATTTATAATTGTTTTATGAGTAAAATATATTATAAAAGATGGTTTAAAATATAAATGCTGATATTTGGGTGGTATTGTTAATCATTTAGTTTTTAAATCAATCTCCCATTCACTCCAATATGAATAAAATGACTGTCAACTTCAAACTCTTCCTTTAATATTTATTTTAATTACTGTCCTTGACTTCAGTAAATGTGATCAGGACAATTGTACTTTATCCAAGTCTTGCCTCCCACACTCAATGCTGAAGCATCCATACCTTTGTTATTTTAAGCTTTAATCTCTGCAACAATAAAGACATGGCTTTATCTGTATTTTTCATGAGTAGTTGTGACTTCATTAATATAAGAAGATATTATCTTGCTGTTAAATTACACAATAATCTAAAGCAGAGAATCACATTGTATAAAAGATCACTTCTTCAGCTGTTTTTCTTACAACATACTGATATTTTTGTAATTTTTTAAAAAAATTATCTGCCTACAATCAGGACTTGTTCTGTCTGAGAAGTTCTAATGAGGTGTCATTCAGTAATGGTTGTTCTTCATTATGGATATAAGAAAAATAATTTAGATATTCATGATAATACTACAACAACCAGTGTGACTGACAACAATTCATGTTTTCTCTATTCTAATTGTTCTAAGATATGTAGCCTCATGTAACATTCTTATTTGAGGTGTAGCAGGTTTGCATGAAAAATGTAGACTAAAAAGGAAATTAATTTTTTTTGAGCAGCTTATATTCAATACAAGAGCAAAAAGCTGTTTTGACAGAAATAATATTTTGCCCGTATGCCACAAGGTGGCTCTATTTACTGCTTATCTTGCACACTCTCTCAACAAATCACTAAGTAGCAGATTTGGATGGCTTTTGAATTGTCTGAATCTGAAGATATATTTAGCCTGATATATTGTCTCTTCTGAATTACAGCAATAGCAATAGCTGTAATAAGCAATAGACTTATATACCGTCCACAATCATAGTATACTAATGGAGAATGTCTTAGATTTTTCACTATTACAAGAATATACTTTCAAAAATAAATGATTTAATGGTCCAATACACATTTTGAATGTAATGCATGTAATATGTAATATTGTATTAATATGCATGTATGTATAGTATATTTTCAAAAGATTAAGAGTATATTTAAATTTGAAAAATATGTGATTTGGACTATGAAAACAATCTTGGGCAAATTGGAATAGATTCAGAAGGTATTGCCTCAAATAGATTCAAAGAGAAACAACTATGATCAAGAATTTAGGAAATGGAAACTAAATTATCCGAGAGAAAAGTGTAGAAGTTGAGTATATTTAACCCTGATTAGATAAAACTGAACAACATATGTCAACACACTTTTCAAGCATCTGAAAAGTTACTTTGACCATAATCAGTTTTCTCTCTGCCATCCTGGACTACAAGGCATTGAATGCTTTTTTAAAAATTACAGCTGAATTTTAGGAAGAGATTACTAGCAGGAAGAATATTTTGACAGTTGAATCAATTACTTAGGGGAGATGGTGATGAGCTACATTTAATGGATTAGTTCAAAGAGAAACATCTCTTGGGGATATTTTAATTTGTATTCCTGCATGGAACAGGCTTACAGTTTTAAATTCATCTTTCAAGGCTCTGGTTTTAGTCATCATTGTCTGCTTAACTCCTAAATCCCATCATTTTAAAAATATGTACAGGTAATTCACAATTAGTGCAAGTTCAAATAGTGCAATATTCAATTTAATGCAAATTATAAATTGATACCAGGTCACATTGAATAAGAAATAAAATTCAGTTAATGTGTGTGGCTTACTTAGCATGCATGCATAATTGAGGATGGCTCATGCCCAACTGGAGCTAAGGTTTTAAAAGCTAATCATGTTTTGTGCAAAATAGAAAAAAGGAAGGTTCAGTTAGAGAAAAGTTCAAAAAAAGAATCAGCTCAATTTGAAGAACTAGTGTAGAATAAAGAATATTAACAGGTACACTTTGGATATGGGTTTATCCTCTTTTACTGTTATACAGCATTTCATTAAAAACATATAAAAGGTTAACTTTAAAATTTTTCTGTGGCTCTGGAACCAATTATTTTATTTTCCATAGAAATATCACCTCAAACAGTGCAAATCCAAGTAATATGATTACTTTATGGGGTTTATTAACCACTCTGATCACGATCTATCTGTATAATACAACTGAATAAATTACCTGCTTAGAATAACTTCATTAGGCTTTATTTAAATGAGAGCTCTTCAGCAGCTTGGAGGGATTGATAATCCCATTATGGGTTTGAAACATTTTATGGAAATGCAAAACACACATTTACCAAAGCAAACTGATAACGGTTGGTGTCTAATACAGGTGATACTCTCTTAATGACCACTTATTCAGCAACTGTTGTAACTTGTGAGAATGTTAACAATGGGTGCTTACAACTGGTTCTCAGAGTTTCAGCCCTTACAGCAGCCCTGCAATCCATATGGCTGTGATCTTGCCCTCAGCTCGATTACAATGTTGCAGCGTCCTGCAGTCACATGGTTGCTATGTGTGACCTTCTTGGCTGGCTCAATAGTCAATAGGAAAGTGGTAGGAGGTCCCAAATGGCAATTATGTGATGTCCTTGCTTAATGACTAGCAATGATTTGCTTAATGATGGCAACCGAAAAGTGCTGGAAGTGCTGTTGTTAAATGACATGGTCATGTGACATGGCACTTTATGACTGCATCACTTAACAAAGGAAATTCTGGTCCTAATTGCCACCCTTAATTGAGGACTGCCTATACCAGCTCCCTAGATCTGGGGTCTCCAACCCTGGCAACTTTAAGACTTGTGGACTGCAACTCCCAGAATTCCTCAGCCAGCATGGCCGGCTGAAGAATTCTGGGAGTTGGAGTCCACAAGTCTTAAAGTTGCCAAGGTTGGGGACCCCTGCCCTAGATGATCTCCATGCAGATGAAATCATGGGATTGCAGTCTCTTAGTATTTTTACTTCCTACCAATAGCTATGATATACATTTTCAGGGCTCACCAGCATTTTTAAAAAAGCAACACACTGCTGCTTCCCCAGAACAAAAGCTGCTAGGTGCCTCCAAGCTTCATCACTGAGAACTCTAGTGCTGTCAGACAGCTGATTGGGGCACCAGGTATTGCTCTGCTGTGATTCTTAATGTATCAATATGGTCTTTTCCACAAGTTGTGCAGGTCTGATTTGGACCATGTATATGCGAGGAAACCACTGAACTGTTTGTCCTTCTCTGTTTAAATAAAGACTATTTTTAACAATGCTTCAGTTCCAAACTATACAGTATAAATACAAGCAGTTATCCTTGAAATTGAGGTGTTGACCTTATATAAAACCAATGCAAATGGAACATAATATTTTGCAGGTAACAAAACCAAAAAGTGCCTTCCAAAAGTCTGTCAGTGAGTTGCAGTAATAGACAGTGTATCTATTCATTTTGTAGTAACAAAAAGGAAATTTCTGGATCTTGCAAACTGTCCTTATATTGTATGTGCACGTTTAAAAAATAGCTTACAT